GACTACCTAGTCTGATGTGGGTGATTGGCAGCATGTGGCGAAGCCCACTCCAGCCCTGATCACAGCCAGGCCACCACTGACCGAGCGTCCACACACACGCTCAGAGTACAACAGGATGTCCCCCGTGTAGAGGTCAAGTATGCTTGAGCTCTCAGTATGTACATCATCTGTATGTTATTGAAAGGGAGAGAGAGAAAGAACAAGAAACACAGACAGAGGTATAAATCAATACCCAGAATGGAGTCAGGTGGTTTGTATGTGTTTATTCCTCCTGATGTGTTGATTAACTGCCCGGGCATACACCCACACATGCACACACTCCATCTATCCCTCTCTGTGTGTGTTCTCCAGGTGATAGGTCTGATTAAGTGGCCTGCTCACCAGGCCTCTGATTAGGACTAATGCTGGGCTGTATTCCACTAGACACAGCGACCAAGTGCACACAATTATTCCTCTAAGTGTGAGTTTATGTACGTGTGTGTGCCAATCCCATGATATAGTGCGTATCGAACACATTCAGGAATAATGGACGGCCTGTAAACGCTACTCATCAAGCTCTTTATATGAATATGTCTGCATGATTTTCTTTCTGTGTCCTGCTGTGTATGCTTGAGGTGTCTTTGCTGGAGTATGCATATTTTAGAGCATATGTGTAAAGGTCATTGTTTGGTGAGTGTGTGTGTGTTTATATGTGTGTTTGTGGTAATGGTTATTAATACGCTAATGGCTGATGAGGATGTACTGTGTGTGTGTGTGTGTGTCCTGGTGTGGCCCGTTCCCCAGGAGAAACTCAATACCACTCACTGTTGCTAATGAGCTGTGGGACCTCATCAGCATTAATACTACATTAGTCTCAACCAACGCACACATCAGTGCATGCACACACACATCCACATGCTATATATAAATACAACCTACTGGCGCATATGCACACCTGTGCAAATCCATAAAAAAGGTAAACAGTTAATAGGATTAGAAGGAATTTTCAAACCTTGCTATAACACAAATAACACATTGTTATCATTACACACTTAGAGATGGGATTTGTTTGGATTAATCCAGAACCGTGTAAAAGGTTTAATTCCCAAATGTTATGTATCAATTTAAACAGAATATTGTCAACCCAAGTACATAACTACAAGAGGTGATCAGAAAATATACAATATCAAAAACAAGGCTTTTCTGATGCCAGATGATTTTAGTAATATCATATGATTCATTTTGACAATTTTCTCTGAGCAGCCATTAGTGTCATCATTACATAAAAAGCATCAGTTAAACATAAGACGTCACCGCTGCGGCTCCTTTGGGCCTCGTCATGTTGTGAAACTGTGTCAGGGGCATCTATGTGAGCCTAATATACGTAAATAGCTGAACCCATTAGCTCCTGAAGCATTCTCCCATCAGCCTGCTGCATTCAGAACCCTGTGGCTGGCTCATATACTGCAATCTAATTCTACTAGGGAGGGAGAGAGAATTGTATTGTGACAGAGAGCAGGAGGGAGTGGGAGGGAAAGCGAAAAGAAGAGGAGAGAGAGCGCTACAGAGAAGGAGAGAGGTAGCTTAATGCAATAAAGCATGTAGTATTGACATCTTTCTCGTGTCTATTGATTCCCCATTATGTTGCTAACAAACCCAGGTTGACATTTTGTCATTTGCAATCATGTTAACACTGCGACTTGCACGCTCCCCTCCACAAACCGATCTATACCCACACACACTAGTTTGCACGTGTGCTCACGCTTATGTACACACACATATACACTCTCTCTCTCTTTCTGCAAATGGGTAAGCACATGCATGGTCCCACATCATGTAGCCATCAAAGACATGTGCCAGCACCACGCACAGAAATGTCGTGAAAGTAGCTAGGAAGCACAGGCACAGAGCTGTAGACATGGTGATTAATGGATGAAGACTGAACATTTTATTGAAATGCACTTACTTGAAATAAAAAAACATCAGATTGGCCCCACATGATCAGGAAAAGTTGAGGAACACAAATATCAATAACTGTATGGTTAATGTCTAAAATTCAGAGACAGAAATAAAGCGAGTCTAAAATCTGAGATGTGTGTGTCGGTGTGTGTGTTTGTAAGAGAGTAAGGCGGTGTATGGTAGGAGACGGTGGTTAATGGTGTGTGACAGAAGGTGCATAGCTGAGATGAACTGAATCTAGGTGTTTGTGTAAGTGTGTGAGAGAGAGACGGAGCGAGAGAGAGAAAAAAGCAGTCTCCAGTCTCCTTGATGTCCCCTCATATCATATCATATGAAGCCCTGTGCTGTGTGGGAAACCTGTGGTTTCTCCTCTATGTCCATTAAACTTTCATACACCAGTTAATGCTGATGGTTTCACAAACCACTTTACTACACACACACACATAGTTCACATAGCAGTGGCCCTGACCTGTGCCTTCACAGACACAATGCCATTAAAAATAGAACAAAACCTGGATCAGTTAGAGCCGCTCGCTATCCAGGTGGAAAACCGTCTAACATGCTTGTTTTATGCTATATGATGGTTCGTCTGTTTCATGACTTTATGTGTGTGTGTGTGTGTGTGTGTGAGAGAGCCCCCACAGGGGTTGTGCATGAGTGCTCGAGGCCTGTTGTAACATGAAAGAGAATGAAAACACAAGAGGCACAGACGGGTCAGGTGGGGCTGAGTCAAACACTCCCGCTGTGACCTCTGACCCCGCACAGAGCTCTAACTCAAAGGAGTCAAGGAGCTCCCAGTCAAAGAGACAAGTTAGCTGAGAGCTTGAGTCAAGAGCTCTACAACTCCCCGGAAAACCTGTGTGTGTGTGTGTGTGTGTGTGTGTGTGAGTGTGTGTGAGTGGGAGGGAGGGAGCTACCAGTGGAGGTTGGGAAAGCAGAGATTAGAACTCAAGGGCACAACGCCTGAACTAGACAACAAGTTACTTTAAGACACTTCTGCGTGATGCCGTCCCTTGTTCTTTGTCAAAGCACAGTTCTTGAAGAAACAACAGCGCGGTCCCGTTTCAGTCCTGAGATGTTGAACTGACCCTGCACCCTTTTAGCGACAAACCCTCTGAGTTTGAAAAGGACAGCACCTTGTACTGTGTTATCAAAATGGACTAAAATCAGCATAGCATTGTAAATCACTGTTATCACACCATCTAAAGGATCCAGCAGCCTGTGTACACATCCCATCAGTTTGCCCACTTATTCAGATGCTGGCCCTGGCCCGGGACACTGCAACATAATGGCTCATCCGTGGTTTACTCTCACCTCTCAAGCTCAAACTGGGTTTTCCTCTCCCTCCTCGTTTTTCACTCTGTCATCTACTCTTACTTTCACCCACTTCTCTCTCTCTCCCGCTTTCTCTTTCCACATTTTTTTTATCTCATTCTGACATTCGCCATTTTTCAACGTGCGGAGTGCGAAAACTCCTCCTCCCCGGTCCCTGCTCCTTTCCCCTCGTCCTCCCTCCAACCCCTCTCCCCTCTCTTCTGTGTGTATATCTCTAGAGATATGGTGGGTAACAGGTCCCTCTCATCCCTCTATACTCTTTCCGCCACCCCCTCTATCACCTATCCCTTCACTGTCACATGCTGTGCACTGTTGACTGAGTATGTGGAGTAAGGGTGAAGCCTGAAATCAAATGGGCTTGAACTGATCTGGAAATGAGAGGGGAGTTGTGCACTAGGGGGGATGCCTGGCCCTTTAAGAGCCCATACACCGGCTAAGGTGCACACCAGCCACATTTGCACCATTATGCCCTGATGCGCAAGTTGCTGTATGTATATGCATTAGTGAATACTGAAATACATCGGAAATAAAAGCCCATTGACCTTATATTGGATTTCCCCTCACTTCCCTTTACTCTACAGTCCTTCAGTGGGCACATAGAGGACAGAAAACACATTAGAGCCAGCGCATCCTTCCCTCTCCAAAGATGTAGTTGGGAGGGGGGGGGGAAGGGCTGAGCAGCTGTTGCGTGTCTGAGAAACAGTCGAAGCTGGACTGAGCTGGAGCTCTCTCACAGCCACAGTCAGTGACACACTGAAGCCAGCCTGGCTGCTCCCACCATGCGTCCTTTTATTCCGCTTCAGCGCAGATGAAACGCAGACGGCGCCCCAGCCGGCACCCTCCCCCTCCCTGACTCCACACTCCTTCTGCTTCTCCGCTCTCAACCGTGCAGCAGCCAAGCAGCAATGGGACAGAGACATGTAGTCACTGGAAGTCTATTTCCAGTGGTGTTTACAAAGATGCGAGCCTTGTTCCCTAACCTGCATGCAAGTCAGACCAAAAGCAGTCACCACGGCAGGTTAGAGACGCTCAGTGCTTGTCACTAACAAATTATCTACATGAATAAAACACAATCACAAAACAGTATGAAATATAACGAGAGAATAACGATGTTTTCTCTCTCCCTTCTCGTACGTTCGTACTCTTCCGTGCACCTACTCTCTCCTTCTATCTCCCCCTCTCCCTGCTTCCACCGGCCCAGGAATCGATCTCCGCAGGATCGATAAGTTGGCATGAATATTCCCTGCCTGCCGAGAGTCTAGTTGGGGAGAGACGGAGGCTGAGGCTCAGGCGCAGGCAGTGGAGGAAAGGGGAAGGATGGGGACGGAGACAGGAGAGAAAAATACTCGAAGAACGGAACATAGGCGGCGTGGAAATGAACCAACACACGGGTGGAACAGTGGCGCATAGTTGCACAGAATGGACAGCGAAAACGGACATTTTACGCAATTCATTTTCAATCAGTCTGGACTCTCCGGCGCGCTCGGGAAAGCTTCTTTGATTTGAACAACCGCCTCGCAAGTGTTAAGGACTCTGTTTAAACCTTCAAACGGAACCGGAGGAGCGTGTATGTGTGTGTGTGTGTGTGTGTAAGTGGGTGTGTGCGTCGACAGCACTCCCCGCTGCAAGTGCATCGGCACCGAGCAAAGGCGGGGCGGGTCTGCATGGCTGAATCTGACCGACATGGAGGATGTGTAGCAGGGAGAAGAGAAAAAAAAATGTCTTACCGGAGTTGGAGCGGAGAGCCAGAGGGGACTTGAGACGCCAGGCGTTGAGGTCAGGGGCAGTTCTCTGAAACACGAACGGCACCGGCAAGGGAACAAACATGATCTTCCTCCGGCTTCTTGTTTTGATGCAAATAATCTGACAGAAGTGCTGTAATAAGCTCTGTCCTCTTCTCAAGCTTCTGTATCTTCGCTCGTTTCTCTGGCAGACAGCTTTGGGAAAATATTTGGTATGGAGAGCTCACAACATTCGCCGTTAGGTGTGTACACATGTAGCCCAGCTGCGCACTTTTATTTACATGTGTGGATGTCGACGGGTGGCCGGCATTAGTTTTGGTGTAAATGTGCATAGAACATATATATAGGATGGTCCCTTGAGTGCAGCAGTTAGCTTACAGTCCAGACTAACACACAGACGGACAGACAGGAGATCAGACCTCCACTTTCTGCAGGCTACAGGAAAAGTTGTGTTACAATTACAGGCCTATTGTAGTAGTTTTAGAATAAAAAGGCTGTGTGTCACCTGCCTGTCGTTGATGCACCTGCGTCTCTCTGTCACCTTTGCACTGCTAAAGCGTTCTCCTTGAGTAAACATAGAGGCCCGGGAGCTTATTTAATCCTCTCACTCTTCAGCAGTAATGTTTCCTATAGGTGTGAAAAGGCATGAGAACAGTCGCTAGCCTCCTCCTGTAGCATCGCCGGCTGGGCTGAGCTTTGGTATTCGCTTTGCAATTTAAAAACACCACAATAAATGATGAGACATAGAAACTGACGAGACAGTGTAAAAGGCCAGTAGAGTTATAAAGTCTTATTTGGATATTCTGTAGTATTTGGTTTGATCTATTGTATTTGGTCTCTAGCTGCACGCTCCGTTTGCATGAAGGCTACATATAGAAGACATTCATCCGCTCGCGCAAAGCAGCGGGTCGCGTCACGAGCACATTTAAAACAGCTTCATTAAAGGCTATCATCAACAAATAAATAAACAAGTGTGGTGGGGGGGTTGGGTGGTGGTGGGGGGGAAAGGCTGCACACACACACACACACACTCAAACACAACGCGCGCGCTTGGCCCTGACGCTCCTCCTCCCTCGCTCCCTGTCACAAGGCAGTAATTAAAACGCAATCAATCGATAAATAAATAAATAAATAAATACAGCGAATAAATAAATAATTAAAAAAAAAAAAGGACTAAAACACAAAACAACGGGAATAAGAAAGCGTATAGAATCCGGTTATGGTCTCCCGTTTTATCGGATCACTTGCCTATCTCCGTCCATCCGTCTGTGTGTCTTTTTTTGTCTGTCTGTTTGTCCCCGTTATTATTTGGGAACCCCAATAGCTCATTCGACCCGGCTCCCTCCAGGATTGTAGCGATCTGCCACTAGGCTGGCCG